CTTTTATTTTCTCTTCCAGCTGCCCTACTTTGAAAAGTAATTTCTCATTCATTTTTAATCCGTTTTGGACGTGTGATATATCAAAACGAAGATATCACGGAGGAGAACACGAATATATAATCGATAACTTGTTTTGATTATACTTAGAGTCCAAAATTTGTGCTCAAAAATGGAGAAAATCCATTTTTTTGGAAATTAATAAAATTAATTTTCCAACAATCCCCCACATGAATGAAAATTGCTTCAGCATCCGCATTTCCAAGCTGCTTTAGGTAAAATCCAGCAGTTGAATCATGCACAGGATAGGTAGGTATGACCCTTTGAACCTTCCCTTAAGATACATATTTATTTTACTAGCGGACCAGTAGACTCGATGTCCTTGAACTGTTCTGCCATTTGTGTAAATAATCAATACATGTCTCACATGATTCTCCCTGACCTAGTTAGGTTCTCATTGATGTGTCCGTTTTGGTCGTGGACACTTTCCTGGTTCTGTAAGAGCTCTTAGGAACTTGCCCATTCAATTCCCTTTGAAGCGACCCCACTTCTCTCTCACATAGGTGATTATATCCTAATCATTAAAAGCTAAAGCTTGATGATTTCCAACTTATCACCAACTACTATAAGCTTAACCTGCATCACTGTTATTTATAGGAATGGGTTGGGGTTGACCCCCACAGTGATCCACATATGTTATATGCAAGTAGGTTGTCCCATTGAACCTAGATCTTGGGATATCCAGTCAACTAGGTTGGGTTTTCCTTCGCAATAACTTATTCGTTCATGGGTTTTAATCCCATTCTTTTTGACGATTTTGCAACTAACTCCCTGTTTAACCCTTTGGTTAGCGGATCCGCAATGTTATCCTTGGACCTTATGTAGTCAATTGAGATAACTCCTGTTGAGAGTAGTTGTCGAATGGTGTTGTGTGGATGTGTCGAGACTTACCATTATACATAGCACTTTGCGCTCGTCCAATTGCCGATTGACTATCGCAATGGATTGAGATTGCAGAAACTGGTTTAGGCCAACCTAGTATATCTTCCAAAAATTGTCGTAGTCATTCAGATTCTTCTTCACTTTTATCAAGTGCTATAAATTCAGATTCCATGGTGGATCTAGCTATAATAGTTTGTTTTGAAGATTTCCATGATATAGCTCCACCTCCAAGTGTGAACAAAAACCCGCTGGTTGACTTGGTGTCTTTAATGTCAGATATTCAATTTGCATCACTATACCCTTCTATGACCTCGGGATATCTTGTATAGTGCAACCCATAATTGCGAGTGTACCTTAAGTATTGTAATACTCTTTTAATACTCTTCTAGTGTTCAGCACTTGGATTACTGGTATATCTACTTAGTCTACTTATTGCAAAAGCTAAGTCGGGTCTGGTACAACTCATAAGGTACATCAAACTACCAATGATTCTTGCATATTCGACTTGTGCAAGCCCTTCACCTCTATTTTTACTTAGATGATGACTTGTATCAATTGGTGTCCTAGCTACAGTAGTATCACCAGAGTTGAACTTCTCAAGAATTTTATCCACATAATGGGTTTGATTCAAAGTAAGTCCATTTTCAATCCTTGAGGTTTTCACACCAAGGATGACGTCTGCCAGACCCATATCTTTCATGTCGAATCTTGCCTTTAGCATGTTCTTTGTTGATTGAACCATTTTATCGTTGCTACCAACAATAAGCATATCATCAACATAAAGGCACAAGATAACATAACCCTCACTTGTGTTTTTAACATAAACACACTTGTCACATTCATTAATCTTGTATCCATTTTCCAACATCACATGGTCAAACTTTTGATGTCATTGTTTTGGGGCTTGTTTCAACCCATATAATGACTTCACTAGTTTGCAAACCTTTGATTCTTGGTCCTGGGGCAACATACCCTTCTGGTTGTTCCATGTAGATTTCTTCTTCTAAATCCTCATTTAAAAAAGCTGTTTTAACATCCATTTGATGTACTTCAAGATTTCTTATATAAGCAATTGCAAGTACCAATCTAATGGATGTAATACGTGTGACAGGAGAGTACGTATCAAAATAATCAAGACCACTTTTCTGTCTATAGCCTTTAATTACTAGTCTTGCCTTGTAATTGTCAATGGTTCCATCCGCTTTCATTTTCTTCTTGAAAATCCATTTATAGCCTAGTGGTTTGCAACCTTGAGGTAAATCCACTAGCTCCCATGTATGGTTTTGCAAGATTGAATCCATTTCGCTTTTAATTGCCTCTTTACTTTGAGGTCCTTCTGAGGAGGTGACCGCCTCTTTGAAAGTTTGAGGCTCTCTTTCAACCATGTAAGTGTAGAAATCATCTCCAAACGACTTCTCCACTCGTGCCCTTTTACTTCTACGGGGGCTCTGTTTCTTCCTCTATTTCTTCTTCATAAGAGGATTCATTGTGCTCAATTAACTTTGAAGCATTTGTCTCAACCTTATGAAGACATGGAAACACATTCTCAAAGAACGATGCATTTCTTGACTCCATTATTGTGCCTTTGTGAATTTCTAGAATTTTTGAGTCATGTACAAGAAATCGATACACACTATTGTTTTGTGCATATCCAACAAATATGCAATCAACAGTCTTGGGTCCTATCTTAACCACCTTGGGTGCAGGTACCACGACCTTTGCAAGGCACCCCCACACTCGAAGGTATTTGTAGGATGGTTTTATACCTGACCATAACTCGTATAGTGTTTTATCCGATTTCTTTCGTGGGACCTTATTTAAAAGGTAGTTAGCTGAAAGTATAGCTTCCCCCCCCCCCACATTGAGGGTGGCAGCCCAGAACTTAACAACTTGGCATTCATCATTTCCTTTAAGGTCCGATTTTTCCTTTCTGCCATACCATTTTGTTGTGGTGAATAAGGTGCAGTAAGCTCATGTATGATACCATGAGTTGCACAGAATTCCTCAAACGGTGATACATATTCACCTCCATGGTCACTTCTTAGTACTTTAATTTTCTTATTAAGTTGATTCTCAACTTCACTTTTATACACTTTAAACTTCTCTATAGCCTCATCTTTACTTTTAAGTAAATAGACATAGCATAATTTAGTGCAATCATCAATAAAAGTAATAAAGTACTTATTTCCACCTTTAGATGGAATTGATTTCATGTCACACACATCGGTGTGAATTAATCCAAGTGGTTCGGTTTTCCTTTGAATGGACTTGAAAGATTGTCGTGTTAATTTCGATTCAACACAAGCGTTGCATTTGTATTTTGAGTCAATGTGAAAGTGTGGTATGTGATTGAGTTTAATTAAACGACGAAGAGTATCAAAATTAACATGTCCTAATCTAGCATGCCATATATTTGAAGACTCAATCAAGTAAGTAGAAGAGTTATTCATTTCATTATCATTGTCACTTGGCTTAAGAGCCATTACACAAAGTTTGAACATACCCCTATCAGCATACCCCTTACCCACATACACACCATTTTTGGTTAACACAAATTTATCTGACTCAAACACCAAGCGAAAACCATGCTTGTTCAACAACCAACCCGACACAAGATTCTTACGAATTTCGGGTACATACAACACATCATTCAACCTCAGCTCTCTTCCCGACGTCATCTTCAACACAATCTTTCCAACACCTTGGATATCAGCAGTGGCCAAGTTTCCCATGAACAGCTTGTCACCATTATCCACAACCTTGAAGTTTCTGAACCATTCTCTATTTGAGCAAACATGACGGGTAGCTCCCGTATCAATCCACCACTCCCTTGGATTGGACTCCACAAGATTAACTTCAGAAATAACCGCTGCAAGATCGATGTCAGACACATCTTTGGTTATCTTCTCCACAACATTTGCCTCCTTAGCCTTCTTTGGAAGCTTGCAATTTGCAGCCCGATGACCCCGTTGGTCACAGTTATGGCAGTTTCCTTGAAACTTTTTCTTAAAAGTTCCACCTTTGGCTCCCAAGTTTGAACCCTTGCCTTTCTTTTGGAATTTTCCCTTTCCAAAATTTGTTCTTCCCAGAAGTTTGGTCATGCTCAACCACATTAGCTTTCTCAGAAGTAGGGGTATAACTACTCCTTTGAGCTATCTTATTGTCCTCTTCAATTCGAAGGCGAACAATAAGGTCCTCAATGGACATCTCCTTTCTCTTATGTTTCAAGTAGTTCTTGAAATCAACCCAACTAGGGGGTAGCTTCTCAATCATGGAAGCTACAGAAAAAGGCTCATTCAACCCCATACCCTCGGCATGCATGTCATGTAGGAGGACTTGTAGTTCTTGGACTATATGGGTGTTTGTTTCTCAGGATACAACAGTAGAAAGCAATTCTTCTAGATTGCCCGAACCCTCACTTGGCCCATGATACCTTAGTTGCAGCAGGAGAGAAAAATGAAGCAGAAGCGTAAGAGAGGAAGAGAATGATTTCGTTTCATTCGGTGTAATGAATCGGTCACATAGACGTTGTATATATACTACCCAATGTAACCGATGTAATGAATTAGTCACATAACCGATGTAATTAAAAACGAAATCGTAACTGTCACAATTTAAATAAGAAAATTAATCAAGAAATCAAAACCGAAATCTATGACTAATTGCTCTTAATTCGTTTTTGTAACTGTTAACCAAAATGAAAAAAGGTCCTTGAACTTTTCTGGTCGACCGGTGGTGCATTCGTGCCCGCAGGACGCGCGCTCGCACACAAGTTCAGTGGCCCGAAGCCAATTTGGCTCGCATTTGCACCCCCTGCGTGCACGCGCAAGAGAGAGCCTTGGTTCTAATAGGTCTTACAAAGGTAGCTAGTCTTTGTAATTATAAACCAATTTCCTTTTCATTCTCCCACCGGGATGAGTTTTCTAAAGTTGCTATAGGTGGTAAAATTCATTTCCAAAGTTTTGAGTTAGTCTTGTGTTCGAGTCTCAAATTTATGATTTTTATCCATTTTTTCGGCGACATCTTATTATATATTATATAGATTAATTTCGTCTTCCCTTATGAAGAGTGACTCACCAGGGGTGCTGTTCATCGGGTTACCACAGAGGTTAACTCCACCGCTTTTTTGTCGGCCCTTCTTCTCTATCTTCGGCTCAATTTTCCTCCACAACTTTCACCATACCATTCCTCCAGAACCCTCTCTCTTAACAATCCCCCTTATATGTTCTCCTAACAACCCTAATCATCCCCTGTTACGACCATTACAATCGATCCAATTCATCAGCTGCTGAAGATCTCCTTCGACTTTTCCACCCTCGCTTTCTTGCGGCTCGGTGACTAAAGGGAGTGAGTCAACGGCTCTTCTGTCTACAAGGCGACGTGTTCTTCTCTTGATCCACCGATTTCCTACTCCTAAGGTGGTGTTGCCGACTCAGTTCAACTCAGTTTAATTGTATTCCTTTTCTGATCGATCTCCATATCTTTCTAGAAATCGATTTATCAAAGTGGCACGTCGTCTCCATTGGGCTGCCCAACACCGTCCTCCTCCTATTTTTCCCCTCCGCCAACGACACCCACCTCTACCGGCGCTCTCCGTCAGCATCCCCCTTGGTAAGTTCCACCTCCATTGCCGCCCTCCGTCAGCATCCCCCTTGGTAAGTTTCTCTTTTGATTGTCCCACATTACTTTTACGTGTTGTTATCTTGTCCTTCTTCACTGATTCTTGTGTGTTGCTTCTTCTTTGTCTGCTTTCCTAGAAAAGCTCTTAATGCCACCGCCTTATACACCGTCACTATGGTGCACCCGGTTATTACAGACTCATCTCAAGTTTTGTTTCTATTATATATTTGATGACATGCAAGTGGTGGTGCAAGAACAATTTTAATAGTAGCGACGTTTGTGTAGCCTTTCGGGGAAGAAGTGTATGCTTAAACGCTTCAAAAGCAGAGTAAGATTTCAATCCTAATTTTTGGTATCCAACGTTGCACGCCAAGTGTTTGTGATATTGCCTCAATGAACACCCCCAAACTTTCTTTAACCTGTGTCATGTTCATTTTATGAAGGTGGTCTGACTGTTGACCGATGACCCCTGTTGAGGGATAACATACTGTGTTTCAAACCATATGCACCTTACCAAGTGCTTATCATCAGGTTACCAATGCTAATTCAAACGAATCAACTTGCAATGGCTTTTCCATTATCATCCAATTCTCTTGCATAATCAGTGTCTGTATAATTTCTCTTTTCTTTTACAATCTCCAAAGTTCAAAATTACCTTTTATGTACAACTTCAACAATCTGTTCTTGGTCCTACTTCTGTTCAAAGATTTCTTTCTACTTGGTTGCTCTGTTTTCTTTTTACATTTTTTTTATAGTTTAAGTTCTTCCATAGTTCCATTTTAGGTAAACTGATCATTACCATATAATTGTTTTATGATGTCAATTAGTTGATTATCACGTTCAAAACTAATATACATCATAAAAGTTTGATCATATTGTGTGTATTATTCTTGACAAAAAGTTTGATATTCAACTTAAAGATGCCTATTTTTGTTGAACATCAACAAAATATGCAGTTTCTTGGTTTTACCTCTATTTGTTCCACCTCATGAGTACATATTTTTCCAAGTATTCTACATCTTTATTGACATTCCTACTATTGTTGGATTCTCTTCCATGGGAAAAGGTTACTTCATCAACACTAATTCATAGTCCTTTCTAATCATACTTTATAACTACCCCAATATTAACTATATAACTTTTTATAAATCAAGTTGGTGGAATTTCTTCTTTAATTACAGTCAGTATTGTGTCCAACTAAATATGATTTTACCTCACGTCTTCTGTAAATTTGAATGCGTTTTTCTTAAAACCTAGCCAGTCGCCTTTTTTCGTATACATTCATTCTATATTGAAGTGATTACATAAACATGTCATTACAAGGAACATAACACACTTACACATTTTCTTGAGGCATTTGTTTGTATAAGTTATATGTAGTGGGTTTTGACTATGATTCAGAACCATCTTATTTAACTAGTCTGCTTTTAAATTTCAGTACATGTGCATATTAATACTAAAAAAAAAATGAAAGAATACACTTTTCTTTGTATTTCCCGAATGTACAATTTTTGTCATGTGTTACTATGTGCAGACTTTTAACACCATCTTAGTCCGTTATTTGGTATTTGTTGAATGTTTATTCCTTGATGAATGATGCTTATAACAACCCCATGACAAAATCCAATTAAAAAAAAACTTTTTGCATGGGTCACTTCACTAGTTTAGATAAAACTGTAACTAGTTTAATAAATAGGTAAGCCTTAGGATTAGTTGGAAACATGCCTCTCGTGTGTTCTATTCTTCTTGCTTTCTTTTATTTATTTTTTACCGGTTGACAAGGCATGGTGATTTTATCGGCAAGACATGGCAGTCAAATGGATTTTAAGGGCCAAAAAATTGAAACTTTTTCGTAAATATAATGGTTTTAAAATTAGTAAAGCACATCGTCTGAACGGTCCATGCCAACCTACCCAAGGCCCATATAAGGGGTCAATCACGAAAAGTAGCAATATTTTTGATAGCAATATTTTTGACGTGTCAGTGTTTGAACATTGTACATTATTTGAAATTTTACTCCTCAACCACTACGTTCTCGTAGCCGTGGAAAATAAATAATGGTTTTATAGAAAAAAAAAACTATAGGTTAAATAGATTGCATACATGATAAATAATGGTTTTTTTATGATATTTTTTTAAATGTTCAAACAAGAAAGTTATAAAAGAAATTAATAATATTATTATTTATTTCATTAAAAAATGTGAAAAACAAGTGAAAGGGAATGGTTGCTTGTACCAACTTTTCTCTTTAGTTGGGTCCATTTACAATTGAACACATGATGATGTAAAGTTTGGCACAAATGGGTGGATATTAACCCAATTGGCACAACAAGACAAACAACGTTCAAATTTGTTGACCCCAACGTAATAAAATTATGGTATTTTATTAGTTTAATGAAAAACAATACAGATATATCACGAATATCTTTTTACGTTGTTAGAGGCTAGAGAAACTTCAATTTTAATATTTAAATTTGTATTAGGTTTGTTATTTAATTAGTTAAATGAAAAACAATACAAATATATTTAGAAGACCTATTTATGTTGTTACGGTTGGACGATCTTTTCTAACTTTTTGAACCCTCTTACCACGTATATATGTTATATAGTATTTCTCTCCTCTTATTTTCATATTTCATAACTCTCAACATAAAAAACTTATATTTTCCAACTCTCCAAACCTATAGAATTTTCTTTTAAAAAAATTAAAACATTAAATAACTTAAATTAAATACACAAAACTAAAATTAAAAATAACATTTTATTAAAAAAAAGTACACTACTACAAACCAAATTTAAAATCTAAATACGGTAATTATAAAAAAAATCTAGTTATCCAGAAAATGTATGTATCATGTACCATATATGTGTTTACATCTTCTTTGATGAGAAGATCGATATCATGTGACATACATATTGTTAGTGATTTGTTATCATTAATATTATTTAAGTGTAATGAGATCAATTTGTTGACCAAAGTGATCTTGATTAATATTGAACAAGTAAGGAATGTGTGGAGTACACACTTGCTTAAGTTTGATCAAGTTTAAAAGTACATTGTCATTTAGGGGCGAAATCCCTGAACGAACAGTGTCCGGGGGCAGCGCCCCTGGGAGCGGGTTCCAATGGGCAGAGCCCCTGGCTAGGGTCGAACTGTTATTATAAATGCATCAGAAATCTGAATTTTTGAAAATAAACCCGTTTTTTTTACTTTGTTTTGACCCTTATAGAAAGAACCCGTATTAGTGACAGTTTTCAGACATCAAACTGTTTTGGTGACAGTTTTTCAGACATAAAACTGTTTTGTGACAGTTTTCTGATGGAAAAGGTACTTAACCAATTTTGGTCTTCATTTTTTAGGGTACACTCGAAAATCATAACAATCATATTCTCTGTTATTTCTCTCATATTCTGGGTCTTATCTGATTAAAGATTGGGAGTACCACCCAAATAATTTAATCTGAAAGTGTACACACGATTCTCAAAATTTCCAAGCCTTTTATTACCCTGAATTTATAACAAAGATTAAAGTATTTCTATGATCATGGCAAGTGGCGATTCTGTGAAGGACATGACAAGCAAGTTTGACAAATTGGTGAAGTTTGATGGCCAATACTTTCGTAGATGGCAGAAAAAGATGAAGTTTCTCCTTACCACTCTTAAAGTGGTGTATGTTCTGAGTACACCAATGACAGTCTTACCAGAATCTATTGAAGATGAACCTTTGGAGGCAACAAGGAGGAGATCAAAGTGGGAAAATGATGACTTCATCTGTCGTGGTCACATTCTCAATGGTATTTCTGACTCTCTTTTTGATATCTATCAAAATGTCGAATCTGAAAAAGAACTATGGGATTCCCTTGAATCCAAATACATGACAGAAGATGCTTCAAGTAAGAAGTTTCTGGTTAGTAACTTCATGGGTTACAAGATGGTTGATTCCAGGCCTGTTATGGAACAATACCATGAAATGTTATGGATCGTGGGATAGTTTGCTCAACACAATCTGAAAATAGATGAAGCCATTTCTGTGGCTATCATCATGGACAAACTTCCCCCTTCATGGAAAGAGTTTAAACACTCTCTGAAACATAACAAGGAAGATTTAACTTTGGTTCAACTTGGAATCCATTTACGAATTGACGAGTCTCTAAGGAATCAAGAACTTGACAACAATCCTAAAGGCAAGACCCAAGTTGGTTCCTCTTCTGTGAACATGGTGGATGGAGAAGGATCAAAGAATCAAAAGAAGTCTAATGGTAAAAGGAAGTTTAAAGGAAATGTGTAACATCCGAATCATGAGGTATAAAATATTGGTCTTTGCACTTGAAAGAGGCTCACGACGTGAGCCATAGTGGTCACGTCGTGAGTAGGGCAGTTGACTCTTTGACTCGCGTCCTCGAACCTCACAACGTGAGGCATTAGTTCTCACGACGTGAGCCAGACCTGATGCCCCCAAACCCTAAAAGTCGGGTATAAAACAGAATAAGGAGGCTAGGGTCGCCCATCCTCAGCCTCTTTCACTCTCAAGTCACTGAAAACCCTAAATTTGATCCTTTTGAGCCCCTTGAGCCGTTGTTGGAGGTTTTTGGTGTTAATGGTGTTCTGTTTTCTTTGAAAAAGAAGAATAAGAAGCTCTTGTGGTGACTCATTTTGGCAAGATAAGCACATATTTGGGGACTAGCTGAACTTGTGAGCTCTAATAAGGTATAAAGATCCTACATTTTCACTTAAGGTTGCTAGATCTAGGTTTTGGCTACCTTCTTTGCATGAAATCTTGGTTTATCAAGCATGAGGTTCATAAAGTTAGCAACTTTATGAACCATTGAGTCATTTGCTGTATTAGAACCCCTGGATCTGGACTTTGGTGCAAGTTATGGCCCCCAAGCTTGAATCTTTATGATTATATCAACTTTTGACCTAGCTAGTGATTAAATCATGCATTGGACATGCATGGCTGAAAAGATATGATTTTTATGGTCTTTTAGACTAGATAAGGTATTCTGGAAAGTCCCAACGCTCATCTTAAAGGATTAAGAGCTTAATGCTCACAGAACAGTTCTCACGATGTGAGCACGACGATGTCCCCAGTCTGAGACCTTGACACGAGTAAACCGGGTTGACTCACTATGTCGACCCAAGGCAAGTTGACTCTCACGACGTGAGACGAGGAAGCTAACGACGTGAGGACAGAAGGATAAGGAAGTTTGGGCCATTTCCTTGGACTATGCTACTATGGGCTTATTGGATTATTCTTTTGGGGCTGGTAGTGGACTAAGTCACTTGTTGGACTTGATGAAGGGTCCATTCTAGGAGTTGGGCCCAATTTAGAAAATCGGGCCATAAGTAGGCCGTTAGTGGGCTTGGGCCAAGCCATAAAGAATTGGGCTTCATGCTAAGGACTTGGGCCTAGGTCATGGACCAAACTAGATTAGGGGTAAAATGGTTATTTTACCCTAAGAAGGATTATTGGATTTTGACTAAGTATTAATTGTGATAATGATAGTCGGGGATTCGCGAAAGCAGCCGTTAGAGATTCCTTACCGAGAGATTCAGTTTTCAGATTTGTGAGGTGAGTTCTCTTCCAGCAGGAACGGGTCTAAGGCACCAAGGCCGACCCGTTTATGCATGTTAGCATTGCTGGGGTTAGCCCGATGAAGATATATGTTTCCGGACTTCGGTCTGATGCCGG